ATTTCAATAGAACAAAAGCTCGTTTTTATTTTTAGTCAAAAAGAATTTCAAATTAGATTAAGTTTTGAATTTTCTACATGCGCGATTCAGCAAAGAGTTTGCATTTCTTCCCTTCTGAAATGTGTACTTGTGGTCCCTCAAAATGGCCGACCACCGTCCAAAACCATATCGCTTTATGCCATCTTTCAAGCATTCATCTTCTTCTGGAGTAAAGAGAAGTAGTGTTCTCCTTTTGCTGCAACTCGCATTTCCGGTCGCCGTAGCCATGCTGCCTGGTCGAGTGTTGTTTGTGGCGGATTCATTTTTTGTGCCGTCCAAGTCGGTAGATGGTTTCTCGCTGGGTGACGAAGAACCACAGCTATCAGAACTAAGTCTCGTAGACACGTCTCCGTCCAATTGAGAACCCTTTGTGCCCTGCAATTTTTTCATGCATTCGTGAGCTTTCRTGGCTACGTCGCGAGATCGTCGCTTTTGGTAATGCACTTTAGCCACCACGGAACTGTGCTTCTGATCCTCGGTGATCGCTTCTTGCTCACTGATGGTCAGCTGTTGATGGCTGGCAGTCTCGACGATGTGGCGATATCTTGTTGTATGAATGTATTTGCCAGTCGCCTCGAAAACCATCTTGCTCATCAGCTGCCCAATTTTATTATGTTGCCCTCCTTTCTTGGTCACGAGTACATAATCACAGCTACAGCTCTCGACAAAATGTTTGTGAACATCCCCACTCCCCTGTTACAAAGTTGAGATTCTCAAAAAGAAGCCCTGGCTGACAAGATGAGAACCAACTTTGAAACAGGGGTGGGGGGATAATATGGCAGCTAGATGTTCGAATATTTTTGTCGAGAGCTGTAGGCTTTAAAAGAGGTCGCACATGCGTAATATATGCATCTAACACTTGCAAGCTACAGTCGGAAAGGTACAACGAATCGAATCCAAATTTAGCCGTCGTTTTAAACTGCTTTTGATCGATGTATCCTCCGTTCGTCTTTGCCATTTCCACCATGCCCACCGTCAAGTACTGATAAGTCATCGGGCGGGATCCTTTCACCTTAATGAATAGGTAGACGGCTACGAATCTAGTGGCAAACGAAAGGTCCGAAGGAGTGGCTTTGCAAGGCGTGTCTCGGCACACTTTGGTCACAGTCTCATAGCGAGGTAGGTGATAAGTAACAGCTTGCAATAGTTCGTCTAATGAAGCCCAGTGTCCTTTGGCTTCTAATGCATCGAT